AAATTATCTCATATAATAGACTTCATTAAAATTCTACTAGCTTTAAACTTTAAGCAGACTTCGTTAGAAGTTACAAGGTTATGACTTTAATTGTTTTGTCTTATGTTTTTCATAGTTTTATCTTTAGTTTAGAGGTCTTTTCCTTCATGGTTTTTATCTCTTCCACCAAAAATTGTAAAATTTACATTTATAATGTATGTTTTGTATTTATATTTAAATAAAGTAACATATTCAAACTCTATGTCTATAATTTAATACTAATTTACTTTACAAATTATATTTTCTAAGTAATGTATATATTTTTCAGATCTAAAACTTTTCGGATTGAGTAGACAACAAATGAATTCTATTAACCTTAACTTTAAACAGAAGTCTACTCAAGTATGATTATAATTTTTCTCTTATATTTTTTTCATAATTGTATTTTATTTTGCAGGTAATCTCTTCCAAAGTTTTCAAATCATCTTCCCAAAAATGTAAGATTTACATATTTATTTTAAATATGCATTATTTTTTTTATATAAAACTGAATTTATAGATACAAGCTCTATGTTTTTGTTCTGCTAATTTTAGGTTAAAACATTATTTTGAAATATTTTTGAGAAAAGACGATTTTCAAATTTTGTAATTGTACATTTTTAGATCTGTTTTTTTTGGCATGAAGTCTATTTAAAAATTAAGGCTAGTATACTTTAAATAATGTCTACTACACCCATAAAATTTAAGTAGATTTTTATGAAGTCAACAAAAATATGATCTGAATATGTTTACCTTATGTTTTCTTATAGTTTCATCTTATTTTGCAGGTACTCTTTTTCAAGACTTCATTTGATATCAAGATTACGAATAAGCAAATATTCTAGAGTTTTAAATAAATTTCTTTGTAATAATTAATCTTTACAAAATATTCATTTGTAAATAATTATTGTGATACATAATCAATAAACATTGTATTCATTTTTTAATTGTGTTGCTCTTGTATGATATTAATAATTAGTTTTAGCAATCAGTTTTCAGAAAATATTCTAATCAGCCAAACAGTTAAAACCACCATAAGCTAAAACAACAACTAACACACACAATATTGGATGTGTTAAAATTATGTAATCTGCAGAGTTGTTTTGTAGCAATTTTAGAGATTTTGAACACAAAAGAGACTAATAATACAAATTAATACAACTCCAATAGCAATAAAAGAGTGTAGAATTTAGTGTTTATCTACTTTCTTACCTATAGACTAATAAAGAAGTCTACTTTCGCTGTAGACATTTAAAAAATCTATGTTACAAAAATCAAGCTTGTTTAACACTACATAAAAATACAGAAGGACCTACAAATTAAACATAAATTCATCACATAACACAACAAAACAGAAGTTCATCACATACGACTAACTCAAGATCCACAAATACAACATAAGTTTAATAATATTATAGAAGTAGACATTCAAGTAGTCTACAGTTATTAGCTAAATACATAGTTTAACCAAAAATTTGATAGTTTCGTAATTATAACACATTATCTTTTGAAAATCATTCAAGACTATTAAGATTACCTAACAGACATTATAAAACAATAAGATCGTGAAAAACCTGATGAAAAATACACAAATTCACTTTTAACAGAATTCACAACATAGACTTCAATGTTAGTCTACATTTGTATACTGTAATAAAGGTCTACGGTTTGAGTTAGTTTTTACAATTACAAAATTTACGGGTTATTTTTACAGTTTATACGTATAGACTTCCTTTTTCAGTCTACAAGATAAAAAGTTAGTTTTGGTCTACTCTTTTTTTGTTAAATAGGTTTGTTTTGACCAAGTTTGACTTTCTAATAGTACAGTTTCTATCACATAATTTATACTGCAAATTAAATTGAATTACAACTCATACAGCAAATCAATTCTAGTACAACATGTCATCAATGGGATGCCATATTACAAAAATAAGTCTGTCATCAATGGGATGCCATATTACAAAAAACACGTCTTAAAGATGATCAAGCAGAAGAAAAGCAAGGCGATTTGTCAGAAAATGAAATTTGTAGCCGTTATAAACAGAGGCTCCTCTGTTACCTGCAGAAATCCTATTTTGTCGACTAATGATAATAAATTTGAAACAATAAAGTACTTTGCTTCGTTGTCTCTGAGTCGGTAACGGCTGAATAAACCCGAAAATGTAAAGAACATAATCTGATTAGAACCATAAAGATCGGGTTTTAGGTTGGTTAGCTGGTTACAAATAAACGAATAATTAAGGTGATAATTGTTTGCATTAGTTTTTTGTTTTAGCTTTTGGTTTTTAAATTTGGTTTTAGGTTTTGATTTTTAGATTTTAGGTTTTTGTTTTCGACTTTCAGCTTTTGGTTTTAGTTTATAGTGTTTAGATTTGGTTTTTGATTTTTCTGTATTTTTAATTTTTCAAAAAATAATCAATACTTTATTTTAAAATAATAATAAAAAAATAATGAAATATTTATAAATTATCACTAAAATTTATCAAAATAGAGTGATTGTTATTTAAAATAAAATGCATCAACATGTTATTAATTATTTTATTTTAAATATTATACTATAATATAAAAATAAAATTTCTATAAATTATAAAATTAAAATATTTTAGAATTTTGAAACTATTTATAGATTTTCTTACATTTTTTGTTTAGAACCTGAAGGGCTATTTATAAATTAATATTATATATTTTATTAATAAGATAATTAGGTTTTTTACAATCTTTAGTTATTGTTTAGTGTGTCTAATAAATTATTACAATTATTCAATGAATTTTTATAGAAATTAATAACTTAATTTTTATAGAAATTAATAACTAATTATTTTCAGTTAATTAATGTTATATAAAAATATCCAATTTACTAACATATATGAAACACAAATAAATTATTTTAAATTAAGGTTTTCAAAGAATTGTATGGATAATTTATCTCTATGAAAATATTATTTATTTAACTAAAATATAGATTTCTACAAAAGAAATGAAATTCGTTTTTGTATTAAAAACCCACAAAAGTTGGTTTTTTAAATTTCTTCAAAAATTGGTTGAAATTTTGAAAAACTAGTTTCCCTAATTTTTGGGAATCTATTTCTTTAAAAACTTGATTGGCAAGAGAAATGGTTTTTACAAAAGTAAAAACCAAAAACAAATAATTGATAGGAAGAAAAATGGGTTTTATAAAAACAAAAACCAAAAACTAAAACGAAAACCACAAACAATATAACCTCTAAAGCTGTGTTTGTTTCTCAATATGGTTTGGTTGGACCGGTTTTTCAATTACCTAGAGTTACTAATAATCAAAGCCAAATTAAGGTTATGAATGGGAGGGGCAGGACAAAGGCAGATCATGCGGTTCTCCCGCAATAGGCAGTTCTCCTGCCTTATGTTTACCATTCACTATTTTTTGTTTGTAAAAGCAGTTCAAGCGGGAGATCTGCATGCAGTTCAATTTTTTTGTCTTTTAGTAGAAAAAGCAGGAGATCTGCATGCAGATCCCATCCGCTAACATTTGGTGGTGTTGATCTGCTTTTTTTTTTCCTTTTACTAATAAATAGTTTTATTACAAACACTTAACTTTAAAATATATTTATTTAATTTTATAAATAATGTACAATTATTAACTCAAACTATATAGTTCACATTAATATTATTTGTGTCATTTTAAAGTTATAAGCATGATGTATAATCGCCAAAAAACACAATATTTTCCATGAAAAATATAAAATTTTCTACATAAGTGTCAGCAAAAAACTAATTATTTTATATTTTAAAATAATTAATAAATAGAAGAAGTATAAGCATCTAATAAAATATTTACAGACATTTAGGCTGAACATACAACATCTGAAATATTTGTTTTGATATTTGGTGTAATTTTTATTATTTTAATATATGATATATAATGTGAACATATTTTGTCATTTATAATTTATAATAAATTATTTAATTTGTTTTATCTCCATTTTTATATATAAATATTAACAAAGAATTAAATATTAAGATGTCTGTTCTTCAAAAATAATTTTGATCAACTAAAACGCTACAAGCATCTTATGAAAAATCCAATAAACATTTACGCTGATCCTACAACATTTAAATATTTATATTGATATTTAGTATAATTTTATTCTTTTAATATATGATCTATAGTTTTGAATTTATTTTGTCATTCATAATTTATGATTAATTGTTTGATCTGCATCTCTCCTGCTTGATCCGCTTTATCTGCACTTGTCCTGCTTTATCTGCACTTGTCCTGCTTGATCTGCATGAACCGCTTGATCTGCACCGCTTGATCTGCTTTTACCATTCGAAGCCTAAGGAGGACGGACATTCAGGTGAATAAGATACTAACTTTTGACCAATAATTATTATTGTAAGATGGCGCCGGCGGGTATCATACCAACAAAGAAAAAAGAAGCCAGCAGAGTTTTCCTCGAAAATATAAAAACACGGTTCAGTGGGAACATTCTGTGACACGTGTACGATACGGACAGGATCACACGTTTTGAATTTTATTATGGTAACCGAAAAAACTTGTCCTTTCCTTTCTTCTTCTTCTTGACAAGGAAACAGCGCAAAGCCTTCACATCACTACTTTATTTTTGTGTGTGTGGTTGCATCGTTGTATATTCTCTTCTCACTCTGTCATAATATTTAGAAGACCCAAAAATATTTCTTTGCTCTGAGAGAGAAATCGATTGACATTTCCGCACGACCAGTGAGTTTCTGTCTTTCTCTCTGTTCTTTATGTCCAGATTCATGCATGCTGTTTTGTTTTCTTGGTTTGATGATCCTTAATTCTGGGTTTGTTGATAAGATCTGGTAATTTCGATGATCCTTGTTTCCTCCGTCACAGGAGAAATGGGAAAGCGTTGATATATAAAATGATCTCTACGCGTCTTCTTTCTTTAATTATATACTTGGTGGGATCAGATAATGGTTTTTATCAAGTTTGAGTCTTGATTTGTGTTTTGAAGGAAGGCATGGTGAAGGAGAATGAGTATTATGACATCTTAGACGTCAAAACTGATGCTTCCGAAGCTGACATTAAAAAGGCTTACTACTTAAAGGTAATCAAGTTTTTTTATTCTTCCTTTCAAATCATTATAGAATATGAGTAATGAAGTTTTAATGGTTTGATTCTATGCTCTCAGGCAAGAAAAGTTCATCCTGACAAGAACCCTGGTGATCCTCAAGCTGCTAAAAACTTTCAGGTGAGTCAAAAAATGATTTAAGTGTTTTTGTCACAATATTGCTACTGATTCTTTGGTTTTGGTCCCTTGTTTTCTTGAACCCTCATGGATGTAATGCCTTGTGGATTCTCTCTCAAGTTTTATGTTTCTTTTTTTTAAATGAAAGATACTAGGAGAGGCTTACCAGGTTTTGAGCAACCCGGAGAAGAGAGCAGCTTATGACAAATATGGCAAAGAAGGTGTTCAACAGTAAGTTTCTTTTTTCAAGACTATTGTATCTATACCGTTTCAGTTAAGAATGTTGTGTGATTCAATCTCTTTTTTTTCTTTTCTCTACAGGGATGCAATGGTTGATCCTGCAGCTGTGTTTGGTATGCTTTTCGGAAGCGAAATCTTTGAAGAATACGTTGGGCAACTTGCACTTGCTTATTTGGCATCAATTGAAGCTGACTTAGAATCATACGAGCCTGATATCAGAAAGCAAATGCTTCAAGACAAGATCAAAGTACATTGTTTTACTTTATTAAATGATGTTTTACTTTATCTCCATGTCCTAATGTTTATGGGAACTATGTTGAAGGCTCTTCAGAAGGAGAGGGAAGACAAGCTCGCTGCTACGTTGAAGAACAAGCTCGAACCATTTGTGGAAGGACGTACCGATGAGTTTACCGAATGGGCAAACCAAGAGGCAAAGGGTCTTTCTTCTGCTGGTAAATACAAAACCCCCTTTTGTTTCTTCTTTTTTTTTTGTTTTTTCTTTTCTTTTTCGATTACAAGCTGACTCGAACAAAATAACCCACTTTTTCATCTTTTTATCGATGGAATAAAGTCCTTTGGTTCCATAGTAATGTTTCTTGTGACTGTTTTAAAGGTTTTGGGGAGGCAATGATGCATACAATTGGTTACATATACACAAGAAAAGCCGCTAAAGAAATAGGGAAAGGAAAACGGTTTTTGAAAGTGCCCTTCTTAGCTGAATGGGTGAGAGACAAAGGACACCACATGAAATCTCAAGTCATGGCTGCTTCTGGTGCAGTCTCGTTGCTTCAGTTGCAGGATGAAGTGAACAGGTTGCATGAACACCAAGGAGATAACAAAGAGGAGCATATTCAGAAAGCCATTGAAGCTAAAATGGATGCTTTGCTTCAATCCCTTTGGCAAATCAATGTTCTTGACATTGAATCCACTCTCTCTCACGTCTGCCAATCTGTAAGAGATACACTTTACATACTCTTTCAGTTTTATAAAGATGCATGTTTTTCTGAAAAAAAATTGTTTAAAAAATAAACTTTTTTTTATATCGGTGCATTTTCTATTAACTAATAATGATTAGTTGTAAACTTCAAAAATAATATTTCCTCCGTTTCAATTTACTTGTCGTTGTAGAGTAAAATTTTCGTTTTAAAATAAGTGTCGTTTTATAATTTCAATGTAAAATTTATTAACTTTTTATAATATTCTATTTTGATGTTGGTTGAAAAATGGTTAGCCGTATAGATAATTGTGTTTTTATTTTGAAAATATGTAAAATTAAATGTTTTCTTAATTTGTGTGTCAAAACTTAAACGACAACTAAAATGAAATAGAGGAGTAGTTATATTTACTGATCCCTTCGTTTCATTTTAATTGTCGTTTTAGGTTTTTGCACACACAGATTAAGAAAACATTTAATTTTATATATTTTCAAAAAAAAACACCAATACTTATACACCTAACCACATTTCAACCAATAAAAAAATAGAAAAGTATATAAAGTTAATAAATTTTGCATTGAAATTATAAAACGACACTTATTTTGAAACATAATTTTTTTCTCTACAACGACAACGACATATAAATTGAAACGGAGGGAGTAGATCTTATTAGTTTAGAACTATAGAAAATAGATTATCAAAGAAATATGCATTTACTAAAATTTTGTATGCCTGGAAAATTTAAAGCAATCATTATTTTGAGAAGAGGAGATTATAACATAACCATCTTTCTTGTACTAACTGATTAATATTGTTTGTGTCTCGTAGGTGCTTAGAGATCCAAGTGTTTCCAAAGATGTACTTCGAGCTCGAGCAGCAGGACTGAGGAAGCTTGGAACGATCTTCCAGGTGAGCAAAAAGAAAAGGGTTCGTAACTTAAAACATAACAGAGAAGCTCATTGAGTTTAGATTTAAGATTGTTGTTGTTGTTGTTTTACTATATGAAGAAACCAATGTCTCTGTGTTCTGTTTTAAGGGTGCTAAGAAGCCATACACGAGAGGAAGCAGCTTACGTCACGAGGACGTGAAACTGGACACCGGAGGTTCTTCAAAGGCGACGCCTTGAAACTCCCATCACCTTTCGCCAGAAAACAGAGACAACCCCGGATTTGAAAATGCTGTTTTACATTTTTTTTGTTTGCTATTGGCTCAAGTGTGGATGTCTTTTGGTCTTTTATTTAGTAGAGATTGTTTTCTGAGTAAATGATTCATAGATAGATCAAAACCGAACCTATATGGGCGCTGCTTTGGCATTTACATGAAAGCTAGAAATGCTTTCGCTGAATCACGCAAATAAGGTACACAAATTTTACGATCATGTGATATTCGGTGTGACATGCAATGTAGTATATAGAGCCGAGTTAGAGTCGAAATCATGTACTATTTGAATATATGGTTTATCATATATTTTGACTGACCATGGGATTTTCCACTGAATTTGATTTCTCGAACATGGGCTATTTGTTTTGAAAACTTCTAAAAGATCATGAATCATGATTTTAGCTACTTTCTATCGATTACATGGTATGTTTGAAAGAACAAAATAATAAAATTTACAATATGAACTGAGGCACATATCATTAGGGCATCTCCAACCCAACTCCAATTTTTATTTCAAAATGGAGTAAAAGAGAATATGGAGTAAAAAACACTCCAACCCAACTCTATTTTCCACTCCATAATAGAGTTTACTCCATAAATGGAGTAATCTATTTTTTGTTTGTTCATTACTCCATTATGGAGTGGGATATGAAGTAGGGATGAAGTATTTCTACTCCATATTCACTTTTACTCCATTTTAAAGGAAAAAAATGGAGTATTACATTGGAGATGCTCATAGATCCACAAAACTAGAGAAAAATGCTCTTACCTAGTTGAACCAAGCTCTCGGAGATAATAGATGACGTTTCATTAACGAAGCATCAAGAGAGTAAAATACTTTTACAGGACAAAGTGATGGAACCCAGGACCTGGACCAGGACTTGGAACAGACTCAGGACGATCATATCAGTCCAACTGAGGTTCAGCCATTCAGCCATGCCAATCAGACCAACCGAGCTGTTTACCGGATCGACCCGAGTAAGTCCGGGAAGGAGCTTAGGCTGGTTCCAAGATCAGATGACCATACTGACCGTCCATCACGATCCACTCGACAAGCTAAGACTGATGGTCAAGCTAGAATCAACTTTACCCAAGAGGAATCTAATATCGACCATAGCTTCTCTCTCTTGGCCCGTTTAGTCCATACCGCAAGTCCCGATGACCGTACTGATGAACTTACCACCTTGTTTGATCCATTGATGGACTTTTCTCACTCAGATTTCACTAAGACTAGGATTCTTCAGCTGTCCAAAGACTTGGGACGTGTTGGTACCAAGATGGTTCAAGAAACGTACCCCGCGGACTGCCCCGATCATACAGCGTATGTCCTTCTCCTTACCGCCAAGGCTCCACTTGGATACATTGAACCTCGACAAGAGTAGCTGAAGGGACCATCATCAGTCAACCTTTTATTTCGTGCCTTGACTAGATCTGGTCAAATTTGTATTTTCTATGCATTGTTTTCACACAAAACTCTTCATTTCCTTTGACTACAACTACTATAAAAATGTAGTCCCTACTTCTGAATAAATCATTCAATCTTCTCTTAATAAAAAAATGTGAGTCTTTTGCTCTCTTTGTTCTTCTTCAAGAACTTGTCTTGTTTGCTTGGTGTGGTTAGCTCCAAACAAATCTTTCTCTTACTTGTTGGACCGGTGAGTCATATCCGGCAGCAGTTCGAGATCTGTCTCTTTGTCGGACCTGTGCGTCATATCAGGCGGCAACTAGGCTCGGGAATATCAAAGGTCATTCCGCAAC